TTAAAATTTACCATGTACCAGACTCTAGGCTAGGTGTTCTATATGCATCTTCATTTGAATATTTTAATAGTGTTTATTTGGACAGGATAGTTGTATTTATAAATGTACAAGTTTAACAAGGGATTGCAAAACTAAAATAGTTCCTGCACTTAGACGTCTATAGCTTGATTATTGACTAACATTCGTGCACTGTCTTCTAATTTTATTAAACTCTATATATCCATTCAATAAGGAATTTTTTATATTTATTGTATATAAATTATATACATACCTATTACATGTCAAGAACTGAGGATACAGTGGTAGGATGACCATTCTTTGACCATGTCATCTAATCCAGTCGAAGAGTCTATAAAGATACCATACAGAGAAATATTAAAGTAAGACAGTGATGAATTCCATAGAAAAGGTATATCTAGAACTCTGAGATATTTTAAAAGGATGATTTGATCCTGACAGGGAAGATCATGAAAGCCTATTATCAGGAGTGAATGCTGAGGTAATCGGGACAATCAGGTGAAGGAGAGAAGTGTTGTAGGCACAGGGAGCAGTGTATGTGGAAGGAGAAAATGAAAAGAATGTCCAAATGCTGGGGCGGAGATACACATCTGTCCTCAGGTTAACCCACATGCCTTCCCATCGCAGCATGCTGACAGAGGGTTGTCTCAGCGCTTGCGATAGAGGACCTACTTGATTGAATTCTCTGGGATCAGGAGAGGAGGCAAGGAATGTTATACTACTTTGGATATGTGGCTCTGTAGGGTCAAGTAAGTATACGTTTTAAAATGAGTATTTTTTAAGGGCCTTAATTACCTTTTTTTTATTGAAGTATAGTTAGTTTACAGTGTTTTGTCAATTTCTGGTGTACAGCATAATGTCATACACCGATATACATATATTCATTTTCATATTTGTTTTCACTATAAGCTACTGCAAGATACTGAATATATTTCTCTGTGCTATACAGGGAAAACTTGTTTATCTGTTTTACATATAGTGGTTAGTATCTGCAAATTTCGAACTCCCAACTTACCCCTTCCCACCCCCTTTCCCCTGGTAACCATAAGGAGTATTTTCTTAATACATGACAAAGGCAGAACTCCTTAAATCTATTTTCAGTCACCATATAGTGTTTCAAAGCTTTATAATGCTACATTATTATTAAACTTTTGCCCTAAAATTTTTACTGTCTATGTGGTTTAGGTATTAAATATGTGGTTTATAAATTAAAATCTGGGCACATGTCACCAAAGACTACAATTTCAGTTCATGAAAGTAAAACTGCTTTTTTTTTCTAGTCTAAAAGCAAGTGAGTTTAAGTTGTCTGTGAAATGTATACTTATCTAAGTTGGGACTTTTCAAATTTCTCATCCATTTCTGAGGAGAATAAGATTTGCTATAGGGACTTACACCTTGTCTGCATTATTTATGAGTTTTATTATGAGTATAATTGTAGGATTTCTGTTACACATCAGTGAATTTGTATTTAATGAGTTGAATTTACATTTAATTAGTTTGTGTTCAAGTGACTTAAATGAGATGCTTCACTTTTCTGTGTTAGAAGCAGGTTAGGGCAATGGAAAGACCCAGGGCAATTGCATTATTCAGTGTTCATTTTCTGCATGACTTGTAATTTTATCAAGATTCAGGATTTAACAAATCACATAATAGCATTTCCTGTAACTGTTTTAAATAGTTCTTTAAGGTTAGACATGTTACTATTAATGTATTAGCAGACTATTTTTTATTTTTATTTTATTGTTTTATTTTCTAACTCAGAAATTCTCACATTCTTTTGCTTTCAAAACGGCATGTGTACAGTAAGATGGTGTCAGATTTATCAAATAATGGGGCAAAAAGTCAGTGGGATTTGGATCTGAAGATGGTAAATTTTCAATGTCTGAATATATTGAGAACCGAAAACAAATACATTGGAGTGTTGGTCTTATATCTATGATGTACCCCAAAGTAGTGTTCAAAGTGAAAATGAGAAAGAACTCTTCTGTCTGTAGGACATTTTCCTTCCTGTTTTATCTATACTCTCTCCAAATGTCCCACCCCATCCTGCTTTATCCTGATGACTTGCTTCATTGTCCATTGGAGACAAAAGCCACAGCCGGTCACCTCCTCTTCCCACACCGCATCTCTGTGCCCCCAGCACCTGAACTCACCCCTACTCTGCTTTCCTAGAACAGTGCAGTCGATATATGGTTTCCTAATGGGTCGTTCCTCTCCCGGCCATCTGTATCCTGTCCTTCCTCATCTTCACAAGAATTTTGGTTTTCACCTCTTTTCTGTTTTCTGCATCTTTGTCTTCCTTCTCTCTCAATAGCAGCTCTCTTACATTAGTGACCCTTCACTTTAAAGAAGCCTTTTCCTTGACCCCAGTCCACACCTGCAGGACCCACCCTTTTCCTTCCCGGCCTCCCGCCCAGGCGCTCTGAGACGCGCCCCTGCACAGCTCAGCACGCCCCTTGCTGTTCAGCCAGTTCCACCCCCCGGTCCAGGTGCTGCACATGTAAATGTGGGTGAGTTCAGTGGGCATTGTACATTCTCATCTTTACTGCCTCTAAACTGCAATGTGTTCTTCTTGAGACTGTTCTAGTCTTTCATCATTCAAAGCAGTCCTGTCTCCTGATTTCCTTCCTGCCTCCGTGGGAACTTACTCCTGCTCAGTTTTCTCAGGGACGCCTCCTCTGCATCACTTGTACTCACATAGTTTTAAGCCATAGCTGTGTGCTGAAGCTTTCCATTTTTTTAAATCTGTGATCAAGACTTCTTTTGAGCCTCTCAATTTGTAAGTTATGATTTCCTGACATGTCCATCTGCATAGCTCACATACACTGAAATGTCTCCCTCACTCAGACTCTGCTTCTCTTCTGTTGCTCTGGGGCCCCCGACCCGTCCCTCCTTCCGTCCTCTGGCCTCCAGATGCCCCCGTCAGAAAGCCGGCAGCCAGTCAAGGCCCCACTCTTCCTCAGCCCCACCCAGTCCACCACCACGACCTAGTGATTCCTTCCCCAGATGGGTCTTGAGCTCCTCTTTTCTGACCATCATCGTGAATAGCAAAGCCACTTTGTATGTTCAGCTAGGTTACTGCAATGGCCTTCTGATTATTTTCCATCCTTTAAATTTCGTTCACCTTAAATCCATTTCCCAAACAGCAGCTCAGGCGTCTCTGAAAGTTTCAGGTGAAATTATTCTGCATTTGGCCTTAAACTGTTTGTGACTGGCCATCTGACAGAGGGTAAGGTCCTCATTCTTCAGTGCTTCCTTTGGAGCCCTGGTCTCCCTGCCTGAACTCATTTCACTTCGTTAGTCCTCGTGTGTGACAGAGCTTTTTGTCACATCAGGGCCTTTTCACGTGTTGTTCCGTTTGCCTGAAATAATCTTTTATGAAGCATTTCTCTGGAATCTCAGGAACTGCCATTTCTTTGGGGAGTTTTCCCCCAGTTGCTCACAGTCCAAAGTAGAACCCATTCCCCAGAGAGATTAGTGTTAGATTGCTCTGCAGAACTAGTCATGGTTGATTGTACTGTATCAAGAGGCAGTGTGGGAATAGGTAAAACCCCAGACTCCTGCCGCAGTGCGGGTCTGAATTCTTATTGTACTTGTGACTGTGGCAAGTCATTAGCTATGCTTAAGGTTTCTCATGGATAATAGTAATACTTGGTTGTAGGCCATTTTCAAAGAGGAAATGATTGATATTTGTAAATAATAAATGCAACACATAGTAAACACCATAGAAGGGCTTACATATGTGCGTGTGTGCGTGATTTACGGAGCTGTCACCTGCCACAACTCTAGACATACAGCAGTCTGCTGGTAAGTACTGGCTTAGTGAATGATGAATCGTACAGTGCACCCTATAATTAGGCTTCAGGGATCTTCAGAGAATATGCATGATGCATTATATTTATAAGATTATGTAATCACTTATATAAAATTTATATTTTGTCTTGTGATTCCTCTGTTAAGATGTTTAATTACATGTTTTTGATCTGAGACTATCTTCAGCATTTTGTCTGGCCAGCCACTTACCTTTTAGGAAGTATGTTTCCATTATTTGTCTGGTTTTGCAGGTGTGACAGTCCAGGCCCCCAGGGACTAAGGGACTTGTACAGATAGCAGAGTTCCTACATGGTAGGCTGGTCCCTCTCCTGTGAGCACCCTGATGCTAGCGCAGTACTCCAGTTCTTATCTTATGGGACATACCCCATGAACTGTGTGAATATTTTTTATACGGTGGGTGAAATTACTCTAGTGATCACTCTTGAATTTTCAGTTTGGGGCACGTGTTGCTGGAGTTTGTTTTCTCCTCCTACGGCCTCTGTTGTTGTTCAGGCCCTTATCACTTGCATAAGGACTCTCTGCAGGGACCCGCCAGCCCTGTCCCTGCCTCCCTGGTTGTGCTGTGTTCTGTGCATAAGCTCTAGAGTGACTTCCCTAAAAGGCCACTGGTTGTTCTTGATTCCCTCAGGCTGCTTTCCTGTTTAACCCCGAGGAGAGACTACCATCAAATTTCAAATTCACTAAACCTCTGTTTCCCATAGTTCATTGTACTATTTCCTCACTGTAACTTTTCCTTATGCGAGGCAAGTAAAATGCTCAGTTTCTCCCTCTGTTCAGTGCAGGTGACATAACACTTCTGGATTCTGCATATATTTCATTGTTGAGGGTTTTTTTTTTTATATAATCAAAGTACTCATAAAATTTGAGAGCTGGAAGGGACCTCACATACCTCAAATCCCGAGTTTATAATCAGTTAAACCAAGGTAGTTTGGGAAGGTGAGTGACAGGCCTAGGGTGACAGTAGGAATTCGGGGCTTAGGTGGCAATTACTGTTTGATGTTTAGTGCATTTTTGTTTCCAATCTAATCACTTTTCTTTTTGAAAGAGAAAATGTTGCAACGGGATGGAGAAGTATAATGCAAATTCAGTGAAAATTACAGGATTGATTGTAATGTTGACTTATGTATTTACCTTTTTATCTGTTGCAGTTTAACAGCAATGCCCAGGACGTAAGCTGTTTTCAGCACCTTGTCCAAGCAAATGTAAGAAATAAGAAAGTGCTGAAAGATGCGGTGAATAATATTACAGCAAAAGGAATCACAGATTATAAGAAGGGCTTTAGTTTTGCTTTTGAACAGCTGCTTAATGTAAGTATCAATACCGTCCCCTTTTGTCTTTTGTTAATGAATTGTAGTATCTGAATTTCAATATCATGGTAGTTACTGCTCTCCAGGGTTAGATAACAGTGCTGTTTGTATCCATTTAGAAAGCAGATGTGTCCAGGCAGTAGAAATCTTTGAATTATTTCTATTTTTAAATCCAAAACTTAAAAGGTATACAAAATGTAGATTTTCTTGTACATCTTTTTTCCCACCTTTTTTTTAAGTCCAACTATGTTTAAAAGACATATTTGTAAGGGAATTGTTTAATTTAAATTGGAATAAGCACTGGAAAATTAGCTGGCACAATTAGAATATCATTTCTTTTTTCTTACCTCAATTAATACCATGTTACTTGGAAACTTGTACTTTCAATCATCAAATGGTTTGTGGAGATATTTTAGTTTTAACTACCTAGTTTGAGTCTTCAGGTTGTTCCTAAGTGTACAGAAGGGTCCAAATGGTGAACCAGCAAGGTGGTCCAAAAGATAAATCCCAGAGCAGGAATTCCTTCCGCAGTTAAGATGCCCTTGAGTGAATCACCCATCGATGTCTCTAGTTAGGCTGCTAGAGCCTGGCACACCTGCTGCGCACCCCTCCTTCGCCTCCACAGTAAAACATGTCTCACGCTGTGGACTAGTTCTTCCAGATGGCCATGCTGCCTGTGTTGTGTCACTTTGAACTATTTGACAGCAGACACTATCATTCAGTTTTGTATCTCGCATGAAGCAGTATTACTGCCATGGTTGAATGTACGGACCTAGCCCCTCTCTACCTTGGTTTCCTCACTAGGGTTGTGGAAGGAATGTCCACAGAGTCTGTCATTGATCATGAGAGTAAGGTATATGCTTTTTGTGGTAAAGGAATGTGAGGGTTTTGTTTTTTAAATAATAAATATTTTTCTCTTGAGTTAATAATCAAATTTTTTAGATCTTGGCTAATTGTAATTATTTTTCGTAGTATTGTTAATTGGCCTCACTGATCCCCTCCCATTCAAGTGTCAATTGTGAAATGATGAAGGATTTCAAGCCTAATGTACTATTTCAGAAACAGTCACACTAGCGGGGCCATGTTAAGTCCCAGACTCATTACTAGTTGCTGATAAAATATGATTTAACCCCTATTAGCCTCTCCTACTGCTTTTACCCAAGTTGTAAATGATTGTTAATACGTTCTCAGTTATTCCTGTAGTAAATCTCATATGCTTTCCACACGTCCCTTTTGTGTTGCAATTCCTCCTTTTAAAATAATTTTCCCACATGCCAGGGGTTGCCTTATTGAGTTGAAGCATGTTTTCTTATCTCTTTCAAACGCTTCTAGTCTTCTCCTATTACACGGTGCCAGTCCTTGCTTTTTGTATGTCCTTCCAAGGTTTACCCTCGCAACATCACTGAAGCAGGTGTCAGTAGAATTAGACGTTAAGATCTGAAATAGTCGTCAGTTAGTGTTTCATGAAGTATTGCCAAATATATTGACATGAGTTTTTCAAAAAGCAGTGTTATTGAGTGCATGTATGATAGACGCTATGCTATGACTGGCCACATGGGGGTACATAACAAAGTGCGTTGTGAAATACCATGTTAAAGTAAATTAGCACCCCTACTCATTGTGTTGTATTGACATAAGCAAGCACTTTCCTTTGCTTAATTCCTTACAAGTCAGTTCTGTATAATGGTTGTGACTTTTTGATGCTTTAGATAGTTGCAAACCCATTGAAAATTAGCTATGATATATTCCACTGTACCCCAAGTCCTGAGACATCGACTTCAAGGGAAAATGATGTCGAAAACAAAACATTTCTGTATTCTTCCTTCTGTCGGTATCCTGCAAAGGATCAACATGACCCAGCGTGCTGACTTGCTTTGGTATTTGCATTTAGTGATAATAATAACAATACCTCCACTCCTTCAGACAATGAAGCCAAGTCCTGTTGTGAAGGCTGTACTCTGTCACCTTGAAGCAGTCCTGTGGGTACATTAGCTCACCCATTTTACGTATGCACATAGAAGAGGCGTCGTCAGAGAAATTAATTTTAGTTAAGGGATTTCAACACCTTTCACAGAAGTATTTTGAGGGTAAAATATGTACCTTTTTTATGGTCAAATTTTGAGATAATTATCGTCAAAGATAAGAGTGCTTGAATGTGGTAAACATTGTGTTAGTCAGTGTTTGAGTTTTCACAATGCTTGGTTAAAAGTTTTAACTGCCAGAAGTCTAATGGCCTAGTCAATGGGGTAAGGTTATGTGAAACAGGATCTTTCCGGCACTAAAGCAAAATGTTGTCCTCATTAACTTTTACAACAGGAAATGATACTTATCTTCTTTGAGAAGTGAGAATAGAAACCTTCAATAAGTTTAAACACTACAGGTGAATTAATGATTTTTAAGAATATATTAGTTATTTAAAGCCAGGCAGGGCTGTGCTGCTGAGTATGGTAACCATGATCATAATTCCATGTGGGTATGGAGCACTTGAAAGGTGCCTCGTCTCAACTGAATTGTGTTGGAAGGACGCACCAAAATTTTAGTACTTACTATGAAAGAAAAAAATAGTTTTTATGTCAATGATTTTTATATTGGTTTGATGTTGAATTGATAATATTTTGAATGGCTGAAAAATATTTATTAGAATTTCAGATATTTTTTCTTACTTTCTTTAATGGGACAATTAGAGGGTTAAAAGTGCAGAGTAGCCTCACATGGTATCTCCTTTGAATATCACTGAACTAGAGTGATGACATTTTCAAAGAAGCTGAACATTCATAAATTAATGTGATCTTTTATTCTCAACACTTTTGCAGACACAGTTTTTTTTTATTGTTAACAAG